TCTCCAGATCCTGCTCAGTGATCTTCAGTTTCTCTGGCACCAGGTGTAGTTTAGACTGCAAGACTCTGACAACTTCCTGCACCTCAGACTCTGAGGGAAACGATCGTCGGCACACGGGGCAGCAGGGCTCCCTGTGCTCGCTCAGCTTGCTGATGAACTGGGTGTACACCACTTTAGTTCCAGCTAGTAGAGCTAAACCAGGACAGAAGCAGAAAGAAGGACACAGGAATCATGTTTATTCACATGGATACTACATTAGGAGGCTTAAAGAAGCAGTTCTCTTCTAAGTGGTGCTTGTCCTGTGGTGCTCAGAGCTTCATATAAACAATAATAATAATAATTTAGAAGCAGTGTCTCACGACAAAAAAACAAACATTTTTGTGAGCAAGTAGAAACTATTTTCTTTCAACTCTCTGACTATCTCTGCAGAAGGAAGCGTGCATCAACTGTGACGAGAGCTTCTGACAGCGTGACAGGATGTAAACGTTCATGCTGCACCTCCCAGATAACCCAATGTCACATAGCTGCAGTATTCTTTTGGTTGGTGGATGAAGACAGTAGTAAGAAAATAGTTCCCACGTAAAACTGATTGCAAGGTCCAAAGAAGCTACCACTCTTCCTGTTTGAGACCATTTACCTTTTGTCTTGAATATCTCGTCCAGCTCTCTCTGCAGGTTGCTCAGGTCCTGCTCCAGATCTCGACTGCTGCAAACATTCAAGAACTTCTCTTCATCTGTAGCTAACTGCAGCTCCTTCTTCAGCAGCTCAGCAGTAATGTGGCTTTTATTCTGCTCATTTGATGCCAAGTCCATTCTGAGATGAAAACCACAATGTAACAGTGGTGAGTGTCGGGAGAAGATCCATCTTAAAAGCATTGTTTTCTACTTAAATGTTACTAACTTGAGCTTTGTAAGTCTGTCCCCGGTACTGCTGATTTCCTTTGACTTGGAAGAGACCCAGTCCTCCAGCTCTTTCTTGTTTGGAAAGTGGCCCAATAGAGACACCAGATCCTCACAGTGACGAGACCGGATCTGAAGAATCTGCTCCTCCATCTCGGCCTGGAGGACAGAAAGAGGGAAGATGAGAGGGGATAAGGGAAAGAAGGGAGATGATCAGTAAGAGAAGTAGAAAAACAGCAGCAGGTGAGTTTAGGTTCCTCATTACTTTGCCCTTTTTCAGTATGTCCATCTGTGTGAGTGCAGCTGTGTGCATGTTGAGTGTCTCCATCTCTTCGTCGAGCTGTCTCTGTGTGCAGTCGAGTTCAGCCTTTTCTTCCTGGAGCTCCTCGACCTCGGCCTTCAGCTCCTCCACGCTGGAGCTCTGAACTGCATCCTCACGCTCCTGAAGAGAAACACACACAAAACACAATCTATGATATAAGAACATGAAAGAGGCTCAAGAGGAGACAAGTGTCAGACAAAGAAGGACGCTTTTGAACTGTGATTCATACAAAGCAGCTGTAACAGAGTCAGTGGATAAATACATCAAGCTGTAAAAGAGTAGGATCAATCTAGTGTAAGAGACACGCATGATATATCCAGTCTCTGATCCAGAAAAAGAGAATATCAAAGAAATCAACCTGTGACGATTTCACAACCTCAAAAACATCATGATCCATGTGTGTGCATTCTCACCACTTCAGCCAGTTTATTTTCCAGCTCTTGCAGTCGACTACATGAATCCTGCAGTCGTTGCAGCTCTTCTGTGATGTTTTTCAGCTCTTGCTGCTTCTTTTGCTGCTCGTCTCTTTTCATCTCTACCGTTCTCTCCATGTACGTCTTCCTGTCCCTCATTTCATCAACAGACTGCTGCTTCTGCTGCTCCAGTTTCTGCAGCTCTGCCTGATCGAACCAAATATTAAGAGGAGGAAGAACAGAAGTGAAGAGCACAAATATCTCATATATGATTCTCCAAAAGTTGATTCTGTTCATCTGGACGTAGCGTTTCCTGGGAGAAACGTTTCG